GAAGGAACAGGATATTTCTAGAAAATGTGGCGTGACAATAGTCACGTGACCTCGCTGACGCAACATTTCATATTAAAAATATTACCATGGTATTGATGAGTGTTACACTAGAACAGAGTGGAAGACCTTTGAGTCTGTGCTCTACAGTGCGTCACAAGTGATAAGTCAGAAGTCATGGTGGATTTGTAAGCTAACAGTAACTCGTTCAATATTTCAAAAATATCCTAATCATGTCAAGAACATACCTTTCTACTTACAAAAAATGACTCAGCATTGTTTACGACCGCAAAAAAGTTCTAACTTAGTCACTATCACTTGGTTGCTCGTCAATGTTCGTGAAATATTTTGCAAAAGATATCGCAAACCTTTACATACATCAACTGTAAGTTACGTAAGTTGTTTGACACGTAACTGAATGAACAGGTGGTAACGCCTAACAGCAATCATCTTAAAATAAAAACGCCTTGCTCCTAGCACCAACTATGCTACTATTTACTATAGTCCTTTTGCAAAAGATTTAAGGCTCATTCAGCAGTACCATACCTGTCAACTCTCACTCATATAACATGAGACTCGAGCATTTTTTAACACAGATCATGCTCTCACGCCTGGCTGCTAAAATCTCACGATTATCAGAGTTTATTTTCCTTCTTTTTTTATCATATGGTATTAGACATGTAATTCTCTTTGCAAAATTGTTGGAACTGTCGTGTTCTTTACTTCAAGTGTGCGCAATGGGTAGCGAGGATAAAGAACCAGTGAAAATAGATATTGTCCGCGCGTGTTTATTATGTCAAGTGATTACTTCTTTGTTCGCCTGATAACCAATGAAATGAGCTATCACACGCAATCAAGCACGTGCTGTCTGTCAATATAGTAAACAAAATGAGTGAAAGCAGTTCGGTATCTGATGGTCCATCAACATCAAAACAACCCAAACTGGTAAAATATCAAGTTGCTGCAAAGTATGACACTGAGTTCAAACTAGAATGGACAAAGAAGTACCCATGCGTCGCGCCTGAATCGTCCAGTAAGAATTATTTTCGATGCACAGTGTGTAACTGTTCAGCCAGCTGAAAGCACCATGGACTGTGTGATGTTGAAAGACACATTATTGGGAGGAATTCTTAAGGATGTACACCTATTTTGCTTCAGCCTAATTCTCATATTCTCGTCTGTTTTGACATCTATAAGTTGTACCAACGAATCCATCATTTCATGAAGCATGTTTGATTATGATAATTGAGTAAGCCTTTCCAAGTCTTCCATGAGGTCAGCTATGTTCTCTTCTTTTCTCTATACCATGTTCCAGAACTTTGCTCTGGATACTTTTTTCTGGTGTTACACTTAATCTTTTGCATAAGGTGACTACCAATGCTTATTAATTATTATGGCTCTCAGCTGGAATAGTATTTAATGTTCTCAAAGCTGGTCTTTTAAATGGGCAGCCAGATAGACGGCTTGTTGTTCACTATTTCACCTGTTCACCCTGGAAATGATTTCAAAGTGAGCTTCATGTGACCCCCCCCCCCCTGGTACCTTCCCAACATAGTCTGTTGGTTTCTTGATTGTCCAATGTTAAATTGTTCAATTAAATTCTGGAACTTGATTTGAAGATGTCGTAAATATAGTAATCAAGGAAGATCTTTCAGTAACAAATGGCACAGCACTAGTAATAATAGATGAGGACCACATAAGTTCTCCTATTCCACATTTTGTAACATAGAACTCTTGAGCAGAAAAAGATGTGGCTGATTTAATCTTTGTATTCAATAATTTGTTTTCCAGATGTTTCATTCTGTCACTGGTGTTCTTTTCTACACTCTCTCTGTACTTTTGTCATTCTCTCTGTACTTTTCTGGTAGTCCTGTCAATTTGGTCTTCAGTAAAATTTATTTTTATTCTTTATCCTTCTTTAAATAGCACATCTCTTCCTTATAATGCCATTCTTTACTCCCAGAGGCACAGCGGTATGTCTGCAGACTTACATTACTAGAAACCGGATTTCGATACCCGTGGTGGGCCGAGCACAGATACCCCAATGTGTAGCTTAGTGCTTAACTTCAAACAAACATCAAACTTGACCTTCTTTTACTTTTGTGTCTCCTTCTTCTTGGTTCTTCTCTTTTAACTTTCTATCTCTTTCTTCTGTTTTTCTGTCCGTTTCTTCTTTTTCATTTTTGAACACTTTGTCTTTTTCTGTTTCTTCTTCTTTCCATTGTTTTATCATCTTTAGTGGGTTTCCTGTATCAGATTGTGCCCTCGTGATCATCTTGAATGAAAGTTAAAGTTCAGTCAAAATTATATTTTACTTTCACCAAAATAACCTACTTCTGATAACAGTGTTGTCATGACTTTTCTTTCTTTGGTATGTTATTTTAAATTATCTGGTGAAAATAATTCAGAGTCCACTTCACGTAAACAATAAGAATTTAGTTTATTTCTTCCTTTGACGTTTCTACAAGCTTGAACATCTGTATACTGTCGTAGATTGTTGTAGGCCTAAGTTACAAAT